TTTATATAAATACATTAGTGTACATTTCTGTATCTTTTGACAAGGAGTGGAATTGGAGAGGAAAGGGGCAAGACCTTCACATTCTGCTTTTGAGTTTCCTAAAACTGTAGGCATTTTTACAATACACACAACATGTCAATTTTATAAACTCAATATTAAGATATTCTCTGCTTGAAAACACCATTCAGTACCCATGCCAGAGTCATTTTCTATATCATTTGCCAACAGGTGACAAGAAGTTTTCTGGGAAAATACAAAGAAATGCTCTTTGTTGCCCCACCTCAGTGGTGGTGAACTTCCAAACACTTTCTTTTCATGTAACCATAACTGTACTTGCTAGGCCAATCTTTGACATGTTGTACCCCAAAGTCTAACCTATCTTAGCATACAAGCTGCTATGTCTAAGCCTGGGATGATAACTTTCCTTAATGCCCCTCTTCCTCCTCTTTCTGTTGTTCATGTTATTATTTTTTCTCAAAAATTTATTTTTATTTATTTGAAAGGCAGAGTTACAGAAAGGGGAAGACATAGAGAGGTCTTTCATATGCTAGTTCACTCCCCAAGTGGCCGCAACAGCCAGAGCTGGGCCAGGAGGAAGCCAGGAGCCAGAAGCTTCTTTTGGGTCTCCCACGTGGGTACAGGGGCCCAAGCACTTGCACATTAGCAGGGAGCTGGATCAAATGTGGCGCCCATATGGGAAGCCAGTACCGCAAGTAGAAGCTTAACCTTCTATGCCACAATGCCGGTCCCATGATATTTTCAATCTACAGTAACACACTAAACTTAGTCAATGAGTGAGGAATCAATAACGTTATACCCTGGTTAAGCGACAGAATTCTGGAAATGAAATTATGAATTAATATTCTCAATGCTTTCAATCCTGACCTTTTTTTTTTTTTTTTTTGAGAGACAGAGTTAGACAGTGAGAGAGAGAGACAGGGAGAAAGGTCTTCCTTCCGTTGGTTCACCCCCCAGATGGCCACTAAGGCCAGCACACTGCACTGATCCAAAGCCAGGAGCCAGGTGCTTCTTCCTGGTCTCCCATGCGGGTGCAGAGCCCAAGCACTCGGGCCATCCTCCACTGCCTTCCTGGGCCACAGCAGAGAGCTGGACTGGAAAAGAAGCAACAGGGACTAGTACCCGGCGCCCCGACCGGGACTAGAACCCGGGGTACCCGTGCCACAGGCGGAGAATTAGCCAAGTGAACTGCAGCGCCAGCCCAGTCCTGACATTTTTTAAAAGATTTATTTTATTTGAAAGAAGGAGTTACAGAGAGAGGGAGAGAGAAAGAAATCTTCCATCTGCTGATTCACTCCTCAAATGGCCACAATGACCAGGAGTGGGCCTGATCGAAGCCAGGAAATTCTTTCGGGTCTCCTACATGAGTACAGGGGCCCAAGGACTTGGGCCATCCTCCACTGCTTTCCCAGAAGCATTAGCAAGGAGCTGGATCATAAGTGGAACAGCCAGGATTCGAACCAGCACCCATATGGGATGCCGGCACTGCAGGTGGCGGCTTTACCTGCTATACCACAATGCCCGCCAATTGGAATGGGGTGGAAAAATTATCAAGAGGGTTATGGATTTTTTTTTTTAAGTTTATTTCTTTATGTGAAAGGCAAGAGTAGGAAGTAAAGCAGCTGGAACTAGAATCAACCCCCATATGGGATGTTAACATTGCAGAAGGTAGCTTAACCTGCTGTGCCACAATGCCGGCCCCTGATGGGTTAAGTGGTTCAAAAACAAAGCTTTACCATGCCCATCCCACACTGCCTACCACACAAAAGACTGCAGCAAACATGCAGGAACAAAGGAAAAATAAATTACAAAAATAAATACTATTTTTAAATATACACAGGTAAATTTTTAAAATAATAAAATCATACACATGTATTTTTAAAAAAATCAACAAATACTCAGTTCTAAAATTACCATACCTTTGATTTGTTTTCAGATATCAAATAATGCTAAAGACAAACATGGAATGTTTACAAACATGGAATGTTTATACTTTATCAAAAGAGGGCATGAGTTTTAAAAAATGAGAAACATTAACTTTAAATGAAGTAACTTTTGAGGTAACTTTAGTAAGAATGTGTATAAATATTTCAGGAAGGTGAACCTCTATTTACCACTACAAATACTACAGAAAGAAAAAAGGATTGCATAAAAATAAGGTTTTATTTATTACTGTTTCTGAATTCTAAAGCTCAAATGAGAGAAATATTACACCAACCTTGTTAAAAATGAGGTTTTACCAAGAAATTTTTTTAAACTTACTTTAAAAACTGAATTCCCTCAGAGAGCTACACAAAGAGTACACCATATGATACCAGCACCTAATTATAGGATATGGGGCCGGCATTGTGGCATAGCAGGTTAATTATAGGATAAAAAAGCAAAGCCATCAACAGTCACTTTAAAAGATATCAGATTTTTATTCTATCTCTCAGACTGTTTTTCTAAAAAGACTTTCCTTACAGAAAGTGAGATAATAGTTTCTTAAGCTTGACTTACAAAAGAAAAATAGCTTTTTTTAGTTAATATAGAAAGGACAAGGAATTGAAAAACAGAGTTCTAAAGGTTTCAGTAGCAAAATACATGTTAACAAAAGCAGTAAGATACTGGGGCCAGGAATCAGGGATTATGTTCCCTACCCTTCTCCAAACATCATAATCAAAGATTCATACTGAATTTAGAATATTTTTAGTACTTCATAATATAAAGGTGGTAATAACCATATATGTTTTCTTTGTGATTAACAGAATTCATCAAGAAACTGGACCAAAATCACCTCATTTACATATTTAAATATCCATCTCTGGATCATATTTTGTTGTAAATTTAGGCCTCTGGCTGGTAGCACTACAGATTTCTGAGTGTTTACTAGAGGCTATTTTCATTTATTTAAGTTTGCTTGTTTGTTCTAGGTAACTTTTAAGAAAAATAATTATCAGCAATAGCTCAAATATCCAAGCAGTTACACAATTTCTCTTTTTTGTCCTATAACATTTTGTTCAACATTTTATCACTTAATTATATACTTTCTCTCTTTACATCTCTCTCAATGTTGAAAGCTCTCCCAGTTCAGAAACCATATATTAGTATAGTGTAGTTTTAGATCCTCCATACATAAGATGAAGTGAGGTGAGGGAAGCTAGACAGTTTACACACAGATACTTAGGATACCAAGCAATATAAAAAGCATCCTCTCATCTTTCCATATTTTACATGAGTGGGGAAGGGGGGTGCAGTACAGATATGACTGAGAAGGAAAGCACTACACAAAGACCAAGGTTCAGAAAAGCTGTGCTTTTGTTGATATTCTGAATATTCATACATACAGAAAATTCAGTACATTCACCGTTCACTTCCAGCTTTCACTCTTAAATAAGGTATCTCCTATTCTCTGCACAGGTGTGGCTGGTTTCTGTTCTTGAAAATTGTTTCTAACACAAAGTGACTGAAAATTTGTTAAATGTGGATAATCTTCATTCTTGTGAAGAATCCATATCTTGGGGCCAGTGCTGTAGCATGATAGGTAAAGCCACCGCCTGCAGTGGCGGCATCCCATATGGGTGCTGGTTCGAGTCCTGGCTGCTCCACTTCTGATTCAGCTCTCTGTTATGGCTTGGGAAAGCCATAAAGATGGCCCAAGTCCTTGGACCCCTGCACTCACTCAGAAGACCCAGAAGAAGCTCCAGGCTCCTGGCTTTGGATCGGCACATTTGGGGAGTGAACCACCTGATGGAAGACCTCTCTCTCTCCCTCCCTCTCTTTCTGTAATTCTGCCTTTCAAAAAAATAAATCAATCAAAAAAATCTATATCTAGACATCTTTTAGAAGTGCTACTTCCAGTTGTCATTTTTGTGTGGAAAAAATTACATAAGACATAGTTCACAAAATAAATAATGAATAAAGCAATGGAAATTTCTTTGAAATTTTAAGTTATCTGTTTATAGTGAAGCTTTATCCTTAAAAGAAATTAATTGCTCACAACTCTCCTTTAAAATACATAATAGTACAATTAACACTTTGAATTTCTCCTCTCTCTCCTTGCAAAGGAATACCTAGGGGCAAACATTTGGCAGAGTGGTGAAGACGCCAGCTAGGACTCCAGCATCCCATGTTGAAGAGCTTGGCTTTGAGACCCAGCTCCACTTCCAATTCCAGCCTCTTGCTAATGCACACCCTGGGAGGCAGCAGATGATGGTTCAAGTACTTGGGTCCCTGCTACCCACAGGGTGGGCATGGAATGAGTTCTCAGCTTCAGCCTGTCCCAGGGACTGATGCATTTGGAAAGTGAACCAGAGTGAACCAGAAGATAGGGGTTTCTTTCTCTTTCTCATTCTCTCCAAATAAAACAAAAATTTAAAGATAAGTAATTATAATCTGAAAAATGCAAAGCATACTGGAACGAGAATCTGGAAACCTACGATCTTCTACATTCATCACTCAGTCTATAATCTGAATGAATAACTTCCAAATCTACATCTATTCACAAATAAAGGGGTCAGGTGTAATCAGTAATTTCCAAACTGGGCTATTCAAAGCCTTGGGGATTCTATAGGCTTCAGGGGAAAAAGGATGGAGGATAATTAAGAATTTGTAATTCTTAAAAAGAGCTCAAAAGTCACTATCCTATCTGATACACAAAAATATTTTTAATATCCAAAATCCTATCATTCTATTACTTTATCCTATTAAATACTGCTGTTAGTCTCACATTTTTTATTGGAAAAATCGAATACCGAATGTACATACATCCTCTCAAGAGTAACACAGTTTATGCAGTGGAAGTCACTTGGCTCTAACACTAATGGTATCCACCAGTAAGAGATGCTGTATTGTCACATAACTACACATGAAACATGGCCTTCCAGAAATCAGAGAATTATTTAACCCTTGAGTGAGCTAGTCAATTATACTATTAAATATAATTTTACTATCATAAGCATTAAAAAGACATTTAAGAAACTGAATCATTATTTTAAAAATACCTGTACTATAAATTGCAACTCTCTTCTTTCTGCTTCCCATTGTTCTGCTTGTAATCTAAAATCCTCCAATGCTGTCTCCCTGATATGAGACTCCATCTCAGTCTTCTCCTGCTGATGTTTTTCCAACGCTTCCTTTATATGGATAAAATCTTGCTTTACTGTTAGACCAATAAAAATTATCTTTCTTCCTTCAACCTAAGTTTAAATGTACAAAGGGGCTCTTCTTACCTACAGATTGTTAAAACTCATTATAATTCATATTAAAATTGTTAAATACAACTATTGTTTTGATCATCAGAATGTAAATCTAGATAAAAAGCTATGATTACCTTTTCAATTTAAGAAACATGTAATATACACTTACATATATGGCATATATTTGACTCAACGTTTCTGTAAACTTTAATGTCAGAGACAAAAACAAAGTAGATTTCAGCTAACATGGAAATCTCCAAAAAGAAACTATTTGGATCATCCTTGATTAGTTAAAATAAATTTGACAGAGAACAATGTATTTACAAAAGGGGAGAAAGAATTTTATGCAGCAAAATCAAGACAAGGAAACTCTAAAAGGTTAAACATTTGAAAAGAAACAAAAAATTTAAGTTTTTAAAAATTTAAAATTACAAGATCTATTCTAGTTCAAAAAATCTTAAAAATATAAAATGTAGGTTTCCTGAGGAACTAAATGTTCCAATAAACAGAAGTTAAAACTAAGTTGACATTAACAGGAGGAGAAAAATTCTGTGGTTTATATAAGAAAAAAAAAAGGCCCCCAAGTCCATATGAAACTATACAATAAATCTTACCCTTGTAACTTTCACTATTGGAAAGCTAATACAAAGAGACTTGAGGGAGACTTGAGGCATTTTCTCCCTAAAGCTAAATAGTGATCCTTATTCAACTCCTATCTCCCACAAAGGTCTCTGTGCAGATTACCTTAAAGGCAACAGCATAAAACCAAAGCTGAATCCTCCTAAGTCGCTATCGAGATCTTACCAAGATCTTATGTCTTGAGGTGCAAGCTGACTGATTATAAGGGATGTTGCCATATTTATTTCCCCATAGCTTCAAAACATTTAATGTGGGGAACATTATATAGGCCACCCAAGGACATGCAGCACCAGTCACATTCAAATACTAATGAGCCCTTGTGTACACCGGGCACTGTTCCAGGGACTAAGAATACACAGCAGGAAACAAAAGAGACAAACTCTGACTATTGGTGTGGAAGAAGAGAGCAGCAGACATGCAAAAAATGTCTGGGAATCCTTATTTACCTTTTATATTTGGCAAATGCTTCTATAAGATTACTTTTTAAAGGAGATACATTCCCAGAATTTGGAAAAGCCATTTACATTAGTGGTAAATACTATGCTTGTTTAAAGGGGAAAACAAAACAAAACAAAACAAAACAAACTTGCTACTTAAAAAAAAAAGGCAATTTAAAATCTACCTTCTAAGTGACTGGCAACTTAAACATCAAGCCACACTTTTATTCTGTGAAATAAAAACAAACCAAAAAAGAGGGAATAAATAGATCATGATAATTTTAGTTAAAGGTAAATATTTTCCACATCATATGTCTAGATAGAACATGTTCTACATAGATAATGAAGTCTACATCAAATGTTTTTGAGGTTTATTGCACATTCAGATAAAAATCTAAGACCCACATTTTCCAACCTTCTAAATCATACTGCTGGGACAAAAAGGCTACAGATTCTTATATATATGCAATATGCTCACATAAGTATTTTGTTGGTTTTCTTTTTAATTTTGATCAGCGATCTCAAATTGTTTTTCACAAAAGAAACAGTACACATATTCATATACTGCTACAGCATATTACAGAAGAGAACAACACAAATGTCCCTGGAAAGGGAGGGAGGAGAAAGGAAGGAACGTAACCCAAGAATAACTTCCAGTGATGTACAACATCTCAGTGGGTATTATATGAGTATACAGAAAAATTCCTTCATAAAAATATTTTACCTGCAGAGTTTTTTCTAGTCTGCTTTTCTCTTTCATAAGCAAATCATATTCTCGATGGCAATTTTGAATTATATTGTCTCTTTCCTCCAAGTCATGTTCAAATCTTCTGCATTCTTCTTTCCATTTCTCCTGGGAAGTCTGAAATTCTTTCTCAATCTCATTTGTCTTTCCTTGAAGTTCAGAATTCTGAGCTATTAAAACATAATAATAGGTATATTTACAACCATGAAGTAAATCAGCAGAGGTTCAAAAACCTGGGCATTGGCACTGGGTTCATTTATAAGATGACCTTAGGACAAAGCCCTTTCACTCCGTAAACTCTTGGAAAGCTTACAATTCCTGAATCTTTCCAAAATTTCTGAATTTGTTCTTCCTCTCAAAGATGATTTTACCATGGAACAGTGTGGCATCTTCCTGAATATATCCCCAAGTGGAGATGCATCCCTAGCACTCTACTACTGTTTCTCCTACTCAAGACAACAAAGCCATTTTTCCCCCTGAGTGGACATGGCCACGTCAGAGTGACTGGTTAGAGTTGCAGACACTCTGCTTTTTCTTTTTTTTTTTTTTTTTTTTTTTGTTGTTGTTGTTGTTGTTGTTGACAGGCAGAGTGGACAGTGAGAGAGAGAGAGACAGAGAGAAAGGTCTTCCTTTGCCGTTGGTTCACCCTCCAATGGCCGCCACAGCCGGTGCGCTGCGGCCGGCGCACCGCACTGATCCAAAGGCAGGAGCCAGGTGCTTCTCCTGGTCTCCCATGGGGTGCAGGGCCCAAGCACTTGGGCCATCCTCCACTGCACTCCTTGGCCACAGCAGAGAGCTGGCCTGGGAGAGGGGCAACTGGGACAGAATCCGGTGCCCCAACCGGGGCTAGAACCCGGTGTGCCGGCACCGCAAGGCAGAGGATTAGCCTATTGAGCCACACTGCCGGCCAACACTCTGCTTTCAATCCAGCTTCCTGCTAGTGTGCATGTACCCTGGGAAGCAGCAGATGATGGCTCAGTACTTGAGTCCCTGTCACCCACATGGGAGACCCAGATTGAGCTTCAGGCTCTTGGTCCCAACCTGGCCCAGCCCTGACTCTTGTAGGCATTTGGAGCATGATATTCCAGCAGATGGTGGAAGTCTCTGTATCTCTCTTTCAAATAAAATGTGTGTGTGGTTGGGAGAGACTGTGGCATAAAGGGCTACTTTTAAAAAGACTCACTAGATCACAAAATACAACATTTGACTATTGGCAACAAACTGTTGTGATGCACCTAACACTGAGACCATCATAAAACTGAGGCTGGGAGGGAGTGGGGAGCCGACACTGGCGTAGTGGGCTAAGCTTCCACCTGCAGTGCCTGTGTCCCATATGGGTGCCAGTTCTAGTTCCAGCTGCTCCTCTTCCAATCCAGCTCTCTGCTATGGCCTGGGAAAGCAGTAGAAGATGGCCCAAGTGCTTAGGTCCTTGCAACCACATAGGAGACCCAGAAGAAGCTCCTGGCCCCTGGCTTTGGATCGGCCTAGCTCCAGTTGTTGCAGCCATTTGGGGAGTGAACCAGCAGGTGGAAGACCTTTCTCTCTGTCTCTCTCTCTCTCTCTCTGTAACTCTACCTCTCAAATAAATAAATAAAATCTTTTTTTAAAAAAACTAATTCTCAAAAAAAAAAATTAAAAAGAAAAAAAATCTGAGGTTGGGAACCTTTGCTCAAACCCTTAGAACCACAGCTCTTTAGGTGCTACTGTCCTCTCTCCCTACTACTTCAGTGGTAACCTCTCAACACACTACCACCGCTGCTATGTTTCACTATCTAGAAAACAATTTAAGGGAAGCCCTTCACCTCTGACTCCAACACCTACCACCTAATTAAACCTCTTCAGACTCTCTGACCCCCAGAGAACAAAAAAGCTCCCTAGTTAGGCTGGTGTGAGGAGCCAATGAGGAAATACGTACAAATTCACTTGTTAAACAAACAAAGCCAGTTACATCTGCAGCATTTCTTTTAAATTATATTTCTTCATGCTTTTAATAGACCATACAGTCATACAAAAGGTACAAAAGAATATACCTTAAAAATCTCCCTTCCATTCCGCTGCCATCTCTAGCAGAGGGTGCTTCATGATCAGGCATCCAGGACTGTACGTAAGGAGTCTGAGGACGTTTTGATTCCTGATCCTTTACAATTGGCCTAATTTTCTTTTCTTTCCTGTTTGAAAGGTTTAGGATCTTCTCTTCATCTTTATTTTTCTAGAATTTCATACAGTTATGCCTTCAGGTAGGTCTATTTCTTTCCATAATAATGAGCGTTCAAGGAGCGCTTTCAATCTGGCCACTCCTATTCCTTAGTCCTAAAACATTACCTTGAGTACTACAGACCAGTAGTCCCTGCCCTCCCCTGTTCCCTTCCTGTCACTATTCCCTATTATTTAGGTGGGCCCTCAAATTTTCTTTTTGCTTCTTTTGTATTTTTCCATGTCTCTCTTGTTTATATTAATTTCTGGTAGATTCCTTTCTTCTTCATCCTCAATGCTTCTATTGGTATTTTTCATCTCTGCTTTCATATTTTTAACTCCTAAGTCTTTTCTTTCTTATAGCATTGAGTTTCTGCCTCATGGGCAGAATATATTCTCTTTCAGCTCTGAGGATATTATTATTGCTTATCTTTAAATCTTCCCTGCAGAGTCTCTACTTCTTCCAAATTGACTTTTCTCTCTCCTTTTTAGAGACTTTCCTCAAATATCCAGTAATTTTTGGTTGTCTACTCTCAATGCAGAGTGAGGAACTGTAAGTGTAGTACATTTTATACCCCTATGCCAAGGAGCCCGTCACCTAGATTGTGAGCTTGAGGGCAGATGTTGATAACCATGGTCTTCACTTGGAGGTGGTATCACTGAGTCATTTATTGGGAAATCACCAACATCACTGATGTTAGTTTTTCCTAGTAGCTTAGTCAGGTGACCCACAGAAAAGTCCTCCAAGTTCATGAATGTAATATGAAATCTGAGGAAACCAGTAGAAAAAGGAAGCCAAGCCGGCGCTGTGGCTCGTTAGGCTAATCCTCCGCCTTGCGGCGCCGGCACACCAGGTTCTAGTCCCGATCAGGGGGCCGGATTCTGTCCCAGTTGCCCCTCTCCCAGGCCAGCTCTCTGCTGTGGCCAAGGAGTGCAGTGGAGGATGGCCCAAGTCCTTGGGCCCTGCACCCCATGGGAGACCAGGATAAGTACCTGGCTCCTGCCATCAGATCAGCACGGTGCGCCGGCCGCAGCGCGCCGGCCGTGGCGGCCATTGGAGGGTGAACCAACGGCAAAGGAAGACCTTTCTCTCTGTCTCTCTCTCTCTCTCTCTCACTGTCCACTCTGCCTGTCAAAAAAAAAAAAAAAAAAAAAAGGAAGCCAAAAGAAATAATGCCTCTATGCTATCTTCCTGCATCTTCCAGCTTCAAAGACCCTGTATTTCATGATCTACAGATATTAAACCTCCTGACTTCCACTAAGAAGTAGAGCATTCAAACTGTTCTAAAGATTTAAATCCTCATGAGAACATGTCCATCCTGTACCTGCCTTCTTGTCTGATGGGAGCAGCCTGATGCATAGGACAAAGATCCTCCAAGCTCATAGCCTCTTTTTTTTTTTTTTTTTTTTTTTTTAACAGGCAGAGTGGACAGTGAGAGAGAGAGACAGAGGGAAAGGTCTTCCTTTGCAGTTGGTTCACCCTCCAATGGCCGCCACAGCTGGCGCGCTGCGGCCGGCGCACCGCGCTGATCCGATGGCAGGAGCCAGGTACTTATCCTGGTCTCCCATGGGGTGCAGGGCCCAAGCACTTGGGCCATCCTCCACTGCACTCCCGAGCCACCAAAAATGCCCTGGCCTGGAAGAGGGGCAACCGGGACAGAATCTGGCGCCCCGACCGGGACTAGAACCCAGTGTGCCGGCGCCGCTAGGCGGAGGATTAGCCTAGTGAGCCGCGGCGCCGGCCCAAGCTCATAGCCTCTTACATCTTCACTGAGTACCCCAGGGAACAGTGTTGTGCCACACAAATCATGATCTCCTTCACATGTACAATTGCTGGCTCACTAAGCAATTTTCTAACAAAAGAAAACTAATCTCTGAAGAAAAAAAAAAAAAAAAAAGAAGAAGAAGAAGAAGTAGAACAATCCCAGAGTAGCATGCTCTTGGAAATGAGATCTAAGGACCCAACTGCCTCTCAAGCAGCTTCTTAAAACTCCTACTGCCACTCCCCTTCCCAGTTTCAAAGGTATCTGGTGATTCCTGTCCAGAAACCTTCTGACTATCCAAAAAGTCACCTGCCACCCTTCTCTACTCCTTGCTTAGGATTCTGATGTCTCAGGTCTACTAAATCATTTATTCCTCATCCATTTGCTTTCAAGCTTCCAAAATTTTCTCTCCTGTCACACAGCATATTCTCTCATTACAGGATTATCTGCATAGTATCACAAAACTCCATTAGATGGTTTTTTACTCAACCCTCAACATTTTATTACCGAAATCTTAAAAATCATAGAAAGTTGAAAGTATTCCAGGTGAGTGCTCATAAAAAGTTCTTCAAAAAATTCATGGAAAATAGATTAAAAGATAAATTGACTTTGGTACAATATTTTGAAAGCCATGCAGATTTCTCATAATATACATTCTCCCTTAAATTTTTGAAGATCCCAAGACTCCACAACTGCTTATATTTTACTATATTTACTCTATCATCCAACTACCCATGTATCCATCAATCATTCTATCATGCTTCTTTATGCATTTAAAAACAAACTGCAAATAATTCAGCAAGTATATCTACAATTCAAGCAGAAAAGGAATGCTACTGAACAAAGGCAACTTGCTAGTTTCCTCCACTCAATCATACCCTTTGTCCAATCATGTTTTCCCACAACTACCCACTTCTTTTTCAAAAGACTTGGCACAGGGGCCAGCGCTGTGGCATAGTGGGTAAAGCTGCCGCCTGCAGTGCTGGCATCCCATACGGGCACCAGTTCAAGTCCTGACCGCTCTACTTCCCATCCAGCTCTCTGGCCAGGTAAAGCAGTAGAGGATAGCCCAAGTCCTTGGGCCCCTGCACCCACGTGGGAGACTCAGAAGAAGCTCCTGGTTCCTGGCTTCAGATCAGTGCAGCTCAGACCGGTCATCTGGGGAGTGAACCAGTGGAGGAAGACTCTCTGACTCACTCACTCACTCTCTCTCTCTCTCTCTCTCTCTCCCCCTCCCTCTCTGTAACTCTGCCTTTTAAATAAATAAATAAATATTTTTTTAAAAAAAAAAAGACTTGGTATAAAAATACATGATTTGGCCAGCACCGCGGCTCACTAGGCTAATCCTCCGCCTTGCGGCGCCAGCACACCGGGTTCTAGTCCCGGTCGGGGCGCCGGATTCTGTCCCGGTTGCCCCTCTTCCAGGCCAGCTCTCTGCTGTGGCCAGGGAGTACAGTGGAGGATGGCCCAAGTGCTTGGGCCCTGCATCCCATGGGTGACCAGGATAAGTACCTGGCTCCTGCCATTGGATCAGCGCAGTGCGCCAGCCGCAGCGGCCATTGGAGGGTGAACCAACGGCAAAGGAAGACCTTTCTCTCTCTCTCTGTCTCTCTCTCACTGTCCACTCTGCCTGTCCAAAAAAAAAAAAAATAGTTAATTTATTTATTTGAAAGAAAGACAGAGAAAGAGAGGGAGAGACAGAAAGAAAAAGACATCTTGTATCCACTGTCTCACTCCCCAGCAGCTGGGGCTGGGCCAGGCTGAAGCAAGGGGCCGGGAACTACATCTGGGTCATCTGGTACATCAGCTACATCTGGTACATCACATGGATGGCAGGGGCACGAGTACTTGGGCCATAATCTGCTTCCTTCCTGCGTGTATTAATAGGGAGCCGAATCAGAAGGGAAGCAGCTGGGCTTTGAACATATATTCTGATAGGGGATGCCGGCATTGCAGATGATGGCTTAATCCATTGTGCCACAATACCAGCTCTTACTATGAATATCCTTGTACACAACTTTAAGTATGAGAACACTGAATGTGAATTCAGGAGATTTAGATTCAGGTTCTGGTTTCACCACTTAGTTACTGATATTTGAAACTGGATGATTTTAAGGATGAAATAAGTGCTTTGTTAACTTCATGGGACTAAACAAATGTTGTTATAATTTTTGTAATGGTTAAGTTTCCTAGTTTTAGCCAGTTGTCCTTGGTTGGTAATAAGTAGGTTTTTTTTTGTTTTTTTTTTTTTGTTTTGTTTTGTTTTTGTTTTGTTTTTTTTGACAGAGTGGACAGTGAGAGAGAGAGAGACAGAGAGAAAGGTGTTCCTTTGCCGTTGGTTCACCCTCCAATGGCCGCCACGGCCGGCGCGCTGGGGCGAGCGCACCGCGCTGATCCGATGGCAGGAGCCAGGTACTTATCCTGGTCTACCATGCGGGTGCAGGGCCCAAGCACTTGGGACATCCTCCACTGCACTCCCTGGCCACAGCAGAGAGCTGGCCTGGAAGAGGGGCAACCAGGACAGAATCCGGCCCCCTGACCGGGACTAGAACCCGGTGTGCCGGCGCCGCAAGGCGGAGGATTAACCTAGTGAGCCGCGGCGCCGGCCATCAAATAAATAAATTAACTTTTAAAAAAAGAATACTTATAGTAGGGGCAGGGCATGTGATATAGCAAGTTAAGCTCCCACCTGGGACACCCACATCCCATATCAGAGTGCCGGTTTGAGTGCCAACTATTCTACCTCCAATCTAGTTTCCTGTTAATTTGTCTGGGAAGCAGATGATGGCTCAAGTATTTGAGTTCCAACCACCTATGTGAGAGACCTGGATAGAGTTGCTGGCTTCCAGACTCACTGGCCTGGCCCAGCCTCAGCCCCAGCTGTTATGGCCATCTGGGAAGTAAACCAGAAGAAAGAACATCTCTCTCTCATTCTGCCTTTCAAATAATTAAATCTTTTTTTAAAAAAACAATATTTACCACAACAATATTCTTAATAATCAAGAACTGAACACTATACAAATACCCAAAAATAGAAAATGGAGAAATACAAGTATATGTTTACATAATACTCAACATCAATACCAAGTCCATACAACTATGTAGACAAATTTGACAAACACAATTTGGAAGGAAAGCAGCCAGATACAAAAGAGTACGTACTCTATGATTCTATTCATATAACCCATGCTACTGAAAACCAGGATAGTAGTCATGCAGAAGGAAGGCCTTTGGAAATTTTCTATTCCATGATATGGGTGCTGGATGTGAGTTACATGGTTATCGACACACATTTCTTTACATACTCATATTATACTTAAATAAAAAGGTTTAAGTACAAGCACTATTTAAGATATATTCTGAATGTTAAATCTACTGTCTTTTCAATTCTAGACACTACACCCTGACATAATAGTTCCTAAAACAAGCAAATCAATAAGATCACTGAGAGTGTTTCTTGAAGAGACAGATTTTCAAGACAGATTCCTGGCCAGGTTACATACAGTGGGGAATCCTAGAATATCACTGAAACCAAACAAAAAAATTCTTTTGGGATTTTGCTGATTATTCATGGAACAAGTGCTCTAAAAAGAGCAATTATCAGCATTTTAACCCCATTTTCCTTACATACATAACATAAAATAAGTACATAAGTGTTTCCATAATTGCCAGAGATTTTACATACACCCAATAAAGTGTACCCAAGAAAGGCCAGTCAATGAATCAAAATGCTACCTCTGATACTACAAGGAATGTACATACATATATAACAGTGAGACATCATATACAATCAAGATACAACCCTGAACATGGGAAGAAATACAAATAGTCTTACCACAGAGTTTTTCTTGGATCCTGTGTGCCTCAGCTAATCTTTCTTCAGCAGCCCGTCTTCCAAGACCAGCTTCCTTTCTAGCGACAGCCAGGTCGTATTCCAGACTTTGTCGCAATGCTTCTCCTTTTTCAACCTCGGACCGTAGCTTGGCAATCTGGCTCTCACAGCTTGCCAGCTAAAAACAGATTCCTGATATCATAACCAAGATTAAAACATGTCTCCAAAATTATGAGATCACACACACAAACACTTAAATTTCTTAGAGAAACTTGTTTCCATAATATTTACAATAATTTATAAATTGACATTTTCTGAAACACTAGAAAATAAGCACTACCTTACTCATCAAATGATATTCATTAAATTTCTTAGAGACTTTACTAGAGAGCAAAAAAAAAAAACCAAAATTCTTATATTAACTGCCTATAAAAATAGAGAAATATATTTTAAATCAGAAGTCATATTTTAAAAGTCAAAAAATGTATGACACAGAGTAAGCACTAAAAATTCATTCTCTCTCCTCTTCCCCTTCTACTCCCTAAATGGAATCAAGAAATATATTGCATCAAAGTATACTTCAGTAAAAAGTGTCTATATTATTTCTCTTATTTATGACATCAATGATAGAGCGCAAGGTAATAAAAATGCTAATTCTGCAAGGATTTTAATGAACTAATACCTAATCTGTGGCCTTCCATGAAGTAGTATGATAGATTATAGGTCACAGAATTAGATGTTATAAGGTCCTTCCCTACCCTGAAATTATGCGATCTGATCAATGACTCAATAATATTCAACACTTGCTATGCATTACCTAGAGTGAAAGACACCAAACAAATATTTATAGGGCCCCTGATCTAGAGAGATTAAATGTTACAGAAAGTTCTATGGGCCAAGTTTTATAAAAGAGGCAAAAATAAAATGCTATGATATTTCACATAAAAATATTTATTGTTAGAAATGGTAGAAGACAATTATAGGAATGCTTTCATATAAGAAAGGACTGAGCTATTACTTAGGTTAGAACTAAATGATCATATTATTAAACAAAGAAGCTTCAGAAGGATTTCTGAGGAATCCTGAATTACCATATGCAGTTGTCAATGTGTAGTGTGGCAGAGGCTACACATTTTTTCATACAGAAAGAATTTATGAAATAAGAATTTACAAATATCCATTAATAGTTAAAGAAAAAAATCATAGAACGTCCTTCCTTATAAATTCAAGGTAATTCTATTGTTTGTTTCAGATGCAAACCATCCCTCCCTCATCATTTCCTTCTCCTCATTAAGAATTTAGTTGTTGGCCCAGCATTATGGTGAAGTCGGTTAAGCCACCATTTGCGACACTGGTAGCCCATATTAGAGTGTGGGTTAGACACCTAGCTGCTCTGCTTCCAATCCAGCTTCCTGCTAATGCACCGGGGAAGGTAAAACAGGATGGCCCAAGTGCTTGGACCTATGCCACTCATGTGGAAGACCAGAATGGAGTTCCTGGTTCCTGGCTTCAGCCAGGCTCAGACCTGGTTATTGTAGCCGTTTGGAGAGTAAACCAGCAAATGGAATATCTGTGTGTGTGTTTCTGTGTGTGTATGTGCCTTTCTCTTGCTCTTTCAAGTAAATAAAATAACCTTAAAAAATAAGACAAAAATCAGGGCCAGCACCATGGTGCAGTAGGTTAATCCTCCACCTGTGGCACCGGCATCCCATATGGGTGCCAGTTCTAGTCCCAGCTGCTCCACTTCCAATCCAGCTCTTTGCTATGGTCTGTGTAACTCTGACTTTCAAATAAATAAATCTTTTAAAAAGAAAAACATTGAGTAATTTTTTTAATTTATTTGAAAGCAGAGTTAGAGAGAGAGGTAGAAACAGAGAGAGAGAGGTCTTCTATCCAATGGTTAACTCCCCAGATGGCTACAACAGGCGGAGTTGCGCCAATCCGAAGCCAGGAGCCAGGAGCTTCTTCCGGGTCTCCCACACGGGTACAGGGGCCCAAGGACTTGGGCCATCTTCTGGATTGTAAGAGGAACAGCCGGGACTAGAACTGGCGCCCACATGGGATGCCGGCACTTCAGGCCAGGGCTTTAACCTGCTACGCCACAGCGTCAGCCCCAGAAAAAAAAGTCGAGTAATTTCTATTTTACTGACAGGACACACAGTAATATTGCTCTTGGTTAACAGAAATAGCCTCAAGATGGTTCTGACATTGCATGGACAGCCTATTGGAACCTGAACATAGTGAGGACATCCTTGCCAGTAGAAATGGGATTCCCATGATCCACAGTGGAATCACAATTATTTAAACCATAATGTGGACTTATTTACAACAAAGTGCCTATTAAAGGCAAGCCTTTGGAAAATGAGGCAGTGACTGCACTTACACATTACTGCAGTTTGTTTACACCAAATCCTGAGGGAGAGGGGAAAGAAAGCTAAATCTCACTATTCTAGAGAACTTATGCAAACAAAATTATAATCACAGGGCTTTAGACAGAAAACCAGAGTTTAATGGTGACTTTTAGAATCTCTTATCCCTTATAGCTCCAAGGCAGATATGGCTAAGGACCCATCTGAAAATCAAGTTATGGAGAATTCAGAATTATAAACTGAGTGGCGAGTCTCATCATGTTCTACTGTTAAAATAGTACCAGTTAGGCATTAAATAGGAAGGAAAGACATGGGATGAGGACTTTTGAAATTAAACAAACCAGGAGCTGGCATTGTGGCATAGAGTTAAGTCACTACCTGCAATGCCAGCACTCCACATGAGTACAAGTTCAAGTCCCAGCCACTCCACTTCCAATTTGGCTCCCTGCTAATGCACCTGGGAAAGCAGCAGAAAATGGCCCAAATGCTAGGGCCCCAGAGCCCACATGGGAGACCCAGTTGAAGCTCCTGGCTTCAGCCTGGCCCAGCCTTGGCCATTGAGTCTATTTGGGGAGTGAAGCAGCAGATGGAAGATCTCTGTCTCCCCTCTCTCTGTAACTCTGCCTTTCAAATAAATATATCTTTTTTAAAAAAGAAATTAGACAATCCTACAAACTATGAATTGCAAAAGCCCCCTGAACACCCCTTACCATGAAAAGCAAGCTCTCATCTCTTAGAGGAAACTAGCCTTCCCTTGCTTAAAGCTTTGGAAATGACCACATCTGAAGTAGCTACCTTGTAATATTTGCAAGATTCACTTCCACCAGCTTCTGTCACCACAGACTGACTCAGATCTCAGTATGCTATGGCAGAGAAATGCATGGTTTGCTCCAGGAGAACTTAGCTTATCTAGGGAAAGAAGCATAAGATCTTGCTAATCTGGTGTTAGCAGGAATCTGGGTAACATGTATAGGATTGAAGTGGATTTAATAAACTAGCTCCATCAGTTGGCTGGGGTGGACAACTGCAAACTGAATTCAACATTAGTCTACAATTATTTAATAAGGAGAAAACACCAGTACTTCCCTGATACAGTACAGAGACCTGAGGAGCAAACCAAAACACTGTAAAACACATGGAATGGGAAGCACAGGCATCTTCAGAAAGTTCTGGGGCAGCTAACCTCTATATGCCAGAGAAAGTAGTGGAAAGTGGAGATAATAATATGTCACCACTGAATCCCAAACTTCAGTAAGAATGGTGTAATCCCAGCGTGGCAAAGGCCAATTGGTAGCAATTAAGCAATAGTGACAAGGTGAGAACAGTTGCTATAATGGGCATTGGAATATAATTGTATGGAACTCCATCCAGGTCCCCAATGTGGGTGGCAGGGGCCCAGGTATTTGGGCCATCATTTGCTGCTTTCCCAGGCACATTAGCAGGGAGTTGGATTGGAAGCAGACTCAAACCAGCATTCCAAAATGGGATATCAGTATTGCAGGAGGCAACTTAACCCACTATGCCACAACACCAACTTCAGTGTGTATTTTATTTTTACAGCACATCTTAATTCAGACCAGCCATATTTCAAGTGCTCAAAAGACACAAGAGGGCTGGCACTGTGGCATAGTAGGCTAAGTCTCTACATGCAGCACCAGTATCCCATACAGGCACTGGTTCGTGTCCCGGCTGCTCCTCTTCCTATCCAGCTCTCTTCTATGGCCTGGGAAAGCAGTAGAAGATGGCCCAAGTACTTGGGCCCCTGCACTCATGTGGGAGTCCTGGATGGTATTCCAGAAGAATCTCCTGGCTCCTGGTTTCAGATGGGCCCAGCTATGGCCGCTGCGGCCATTTGAGGAATGAATCAGTGGATGGAAGACCTTTCTATATCTCCCTCTATCTGTAACTCCTCCTTTCAAATAAATAAATAAAATCTTTAAAAAAAAAAAAAAAAAGACACAGGAGGCTAATAGCAACTACATTGGAGAAGTTCTACAATAATATTTTTTCAAAGCAAAGAGAAAAATCTTTAAGTCTACTGAGCAGAATTGACTTGAATCACTAAAATAGGAAAAATATGAGTCCCTCCATCAGAACCCAGACTCCTCGAAACTCCCTGACATAGCAATTCCACAAGTATATACTATAAATCTTCTCCCAAGCTTTCTTCAATGGGGAAGGTAGAAACTTTAACTGGAGATTAGTATATGATGATATTTCTCCCATACAACAGACTCAGGAAACAAACTATAGAAATGGGAGTGGCCTCTGATATACCAAGAGCTAATAACTTTATCATCTACTAACCCATTCACTAGGTTCTCCCACCCCAATCCCTTGCAACTTGGACTCTAACTTTATGAAAGAGATCTTAATTTCCAAGGCTAACACTTCTACCAGGTGATATAAAATGATGCAATTTAATATATACTACAGTACGGATGAACTTCGAAAACGGTATAATAAGTGAAATAAGTGAAATAATACCAAAAAAAAATAGGTGGAAGGGTCAAATATTGCATGGTTCCAAAAGAATCTGTCCAGAAAATACATATTTATAGAAACAAAAAGTAGAGGTCAACAGGGGGCTGGAGGAGAGATGGATGGGACATTATTCATTAATGTAACACAGTTTCTTTCAGGGTGATGAAATATTTTGGAATAGATGGTGACAGTTGAACAACACTATGTATGTTAACTAATGCCACTGAATTGTACACTCAAAAATGGATTAACATGTCAACTGTTACATATTTCATCACAACAAAAAATTTTAATTCATTAAATTGAAATCTGAGGCTAATTTTTG